ACATTTTAGGTCGACAGGTGCATCTGACCTCTAACCCTAACGTTCCCAGAATGCATTGCGACAGCCTCGGTATCAGGAAGTGGCCCAGCCCTTTCCTTCCTGTGTTTTTGTTTCCTCCGCCAAATGTGACCCATTTCTACACATTTTAGCTCAAAAACACAAGATGTCTCGGACGGGGCAGCTCATCCCCAGCCAGCAGAAGCTGGCGGAGAAGCTGACGGTGCTGAACGATCGGGCCATGGGCATGCTGACGAGGATATACAACATCAAAAAGGTGAGGCTCTCTCGGGGGAATTTTCAGGGGGACCGACTTGTCAGACGGGCTCGTTTTGGGGGAAATTAGACGATTTTTGTGGTCTTTTGACACTTTTTAGAAAGAACCTAACATTTACAGTTCCTACCTTTAGTAACATGGATGTGGTTTTTAGGTACTTGACCATAGCAAAACAAAAACGGTGCCTATACTATAGAACAAAGGATATATGATCACGGACATGTGTGATTATGATAAATTTTCCAGTTAATTTCATTTTCAAAATTAGCTGTTCCTAAAAGTAAACATTAAAAGATCTTAGCTGTTTATGACTTCCCCAATCTGCCTTGCCCCTCCCCCAATATGCCCAATGTCTTCTCAGTGTATCTATAAAATAATTTATGCTGCATTTGAATTAGGTCCAAGGTTGTATACAACCTCAGTGATTTGAATAAATAGCTGTTACGCTGTAACGTTATAAGTTCAAAATTTTTTCTTCTTCCCTTGAATGCCCTCAAATTATCATGTATTGTGTCATTTCAAATACATTCATACATGTAGTTGTGTGAGTTAGGGACATTTGTATGTTTGTAAGGTTCACTGTCAAATTTTGTGATAAATTATGGACTATTGTCATTTGAATCCTGGAGACCAGGTGTTAATGGGTACTGTAATTCCTGATTTGTTCACTGTACTGATAAGTTCACTGTTTTCACCAGGGTTCTCCCCAGAAAATTTTAGTATGAGGGAGGAAACTTACCGAGCACACACTAAGCGATGCTATAGTTATAGCTTCCTCCGGAGGAGGAAGCTATAGCATTTTGACTGTTATAAATAGAAATGGAGGCCATTTCCTGCAATTTCAGCCTTCTGTCTTTCCTAAATATACAACTTACACATAATAGCTTAAGAGACTCCAACACCAAGTTGAAAGAAAAGAAATGGCACATTTAACCATGATTTAACTTCAAGATCAAGGTGTTGGGACTCTTCTAGCTTATTACTATAATTGGAAACTCAATTTGTATGTGGTTGTCATTATGCATTTATTTGCCGGTAAATGTGTAACATTATAACAAGACAGGTAACAGCATCTTATAGAAGTCACAAGAGGATACATCTCCTTTATTTGTAGTTCTGCACCAAGCAGTGCAGCACTTGTATACACTACTACTAGAACAGTCTTCACTATAGCAGGGTTCTCCCCAGGATTTGAGAGACATGGCCCCCCCTCCAGAGGGGGGAAGCTGAAGCATTTTTCTTTATCTAAATACAAATGGAAGCCATTTCCTGCAACTTCAGGTTTTGAACTGCCAGAAAAAAATGTTAACATACAGGAAAAATTGGGCATAGGTTCCACGCTCTGACCCCTAACCGGGGGCCAACGGTGCCTTCAAGTTCGACAATTGAAACAGAATATGACATTAAGTCATACATTTTCCACTTGGAACTTGAGGCAAGCAATTATGGGAAAATGTAGAGAAGCTGGGACAAAACCTTATCCTAATGCTAATCCTTATGTTATCACCAAGTTGTAAACAAGTCCCTTATAATTATCAAAGTACCATCAAGAGTACCATCAAAACAAAATTTCACTTCTCTAACATTAAATAATCGGTCTCATGTTTAGGACTAACAAAGTTACACATTCAAGAAAATACTTTTGAATTTAAAAAAAAAGAAGAAAAAAAAAAGAAATCTGAAGAAAAAAATATTAATCTGCACAACATTTTATTGGTTTCTATCCCTTTGCTTGTCTACAAGTCGATAATGTGATTGTATCAATTTTCAAACGCCCTAAAATTAGCTAAATCGGCGAATTAAGGTGATTGCGCAATGGACGTGCCCTATGACCTTCGACCTTTTGGGGGTCATGCAGGCGTCAACTCAACAGCGCCCTCCCCATGCCTTGCCCGTCCGTTTTCGTCGGCAAATTTCTGCTTTTTTAGAGGTTTTGAGACCTTAAAACTCATACCATGGGAGAAATAAACCACATACGTTATTTTTATGGTAAATATCGCTAAAATGGACCATGCATTTTTGTCGCGTTGCCGATTTTTGGCAGAAGCCTTGCGGTGCGGCCGCCATGTGCTACGCCGATAGGTACAGGCCGTCCCCCGTCCGGGTTTGTGGGCAAAATTCAGCTTTTTTTTAACGTTTCGGGACTTACAAACCGACAGCAGGGGAAAAATAAATCGTATACGTTATTTTAATGGGAATACCGCTATCATGAACCAGACATTTTTCTGTCGCGTCAACGAATTTCGCGGCCGCCACATGCTTCATAATGTCGCGGTACGGTAGGGAATTTTCTACGGTTTATAAGTTCGTAAACGTATCGGCTTTTATTTTTAAACTTATTATCAGGGTCGAGGGCTTTGGTTTACAAAGAAATCAGACAATTAGCTTTCTTTACACGACTTCAAAACGCTAGCGGGGCGCCCGATGTTCCACCAATGACAGCGATTCTCTCAGTAGCGTCGTGCGAAATACTCATTGTTTACTCGATTATCGCCCCATTCACAAGTTTTCAGAGACAATGCCGGCGGGAAAATAGACGCCACTAAGCCCCGAAATCAGGAAATTTTATCGAATTTTAGCGAAATTTTGTAGAAAAATCGGGATGCAACACCCTAGATTTGAAAATGAGTATGAGGGCGCTGAGCTAGGAGTATCAGGGCGCAGCGCCCTTGTTCCATCGTCTGGGGAGAACCCTGGTTTTCACTGTTGCTTCTGTACAGTGAACTTATCATTACAGTTAACAAATAATTCCTGGACTTTCTTTTTCCTACACCTGTCACCACCGTGAACATATAGTTCCGTGAACACGTCCATTTTTCTCAGACCGTGAAATTTTGCTACCGTGAACATAAAGTGAATTACAGTAAGTGGATTGCAGCAAGGAGCTTCAACACTGAGCAAGTCTACATAATGTACATTTGATTTTGAGTGATCACAGATTTTTTGCAGTTTTCGTTTGAATCATTGCATGTTCGCTCAATGTTAAAATGAGACATACTATGCAAAATACATAACGGGTTTTACACAGGCGCAGTACGTTATGCGTACATGTTCTCAGCGCGTCGGTAGGATGTACTGTACCTGAGCAAAATCCGTGATGTATTGTATATAGCACTTCGGCAGAATGTCTCATATTTTTATTACAAGGTCATATTTGCACATATAAGGTTAACATCCTGTCTATAGTTTCCAAATGTTCAGAGTCAGAAAATATTTTGTCTGCAACAGGCAAAATTCTGTTGCAATGTTGACCAAAAATACAGAGAAAACCGCGAAAAGCCAGGGTTCTGCACAGGCGCAGTACATTCTACCAACGTGCCTAATGCAGCATGGTCCATGTACTAGTAATGCCATGTGAAAAGCCAGTGTGTTACTGATAACAAAATTGTTATAACAAGTTATAACATATTTCCCCCATCTAATCTGCAGGCCTGTGGAGATGTGAAGTCCAAACCTGCCTTCCTCTCAGACAAGAACCTGGAGGGAGCCATCAAGTTCATTGTCAGGAAGTTCCCACATGTCGACTCCAAGAACAACTATGTAAGAACGGTTCATTCGTAAATATAATATATGAAACAGAATTCCGTTATAAAATTATCATAAATCCTAAATCCTGATTATTTCCGGGTAAAATGATAAGATTTCTCCCAGGCTAGGTTTAACAAGGCCAGTGTCTTATCTATGATCAGTTGAAGAGCAATTTTTGCATGCCACTCTCATGATAGAATAGCTGAATCCATCTGCCAGACCTGAAATGCTTGTACATACACGTACATGTGTACATGTATTAGTAGTCGAACAATATGAATGTTGTATGCGATCTATGCATCAATGCTAGCTTTTCATTCCAGGTAATAATTTGGCTGTATTTTCAATTTATCTACTTACAAATGTACCAATCATCATATTGTGATAGAATCATATAGATAATTATCTATTAGTAGCCTGAGTACTGTAAGGCGCATCTACATGTATCCCTTACTTTAAGTCATGATAGATAAATTTTATACATGTATTTGACATGTACATGTATGTAGGTATCAAGTATTCTATATACATGTATATGTACATTGTATGTATCATCTTCCCTCCCTCACTAGACTAGATCCTATCCTCTAGTCCTGTCCTTCCCTGTGCCAACTTTCCCTCTATGATCCTCTATCACATATGCCTAAGTTGCAAGTAGTATCTGAATTCTGATCTCCCATAATGATAATCTTTTGGCACAAAAAGCATTGCACTTATATTATTACACTTGTATATTCATATTTATAAGTTAGTATCCTTAGAAATGTTGACTTTTTCTTGGCTTTTTTCGGCATGTTTGAGTTTGTTCAGGTAAGGTTCTATGAACACTTGTATATATTTTTTTTCTGGAAAGTTTTGCCTTTCATTCATCTGTGGTATTTGTACGTACAATGAGAGCCATCATTCTTAAAAGACTGTATTTTTTGCTGTGGTGGAGATTTTTTTTTGCTCTCTTTCATGCCAATTGCAATCTTGTTATTTTCCAGAGGTTTTTATTTGTAAGTATTTTGCTCAATTCTCTTGTTGCTTAAATTAATCCATAATTTACCCTACCACATTATGTATAGTCATCCTCACCCAGAGAATCCACCAGTTTTTGTTTTTTTCCCTTCGTTTTTCACCCCTGGACCCTTTTGTGTCCTAATTTCAATTACCCACGTGCCTGCAATTTTGCTCATTTAATCCAATTCTGATGTAACTGCCACTAAGAGCTGTAGACTTAGATATAACCGTACGCTTTTTTAACCATGACAATTTTTTTGCCATATCTTATCCTTGCATGTGCAGTGGACAATGCCTTTTGTGCAGGTCAGTTGAGTCGTCTTTTTGCTCTGGAGAGATGTATGCACTGTTGCACTGCACTTTGGTGTGGTCAGGCCTTTATGTTTTTTTTTTTTTGAAAACCATTTTTTTTCTTGGTAACTTTTGGTCGGATGCTAAGTATTCTGTTGAATACCGTTGTGTGAGATAGTGGCTAGCACATTAAGCACAGCATTTAATGGTATATACATGTAGATCATAATGCACACTTACTATGGTATCTCTCACACACCTAATTACTCTGTCTTCTATACATGTATTTCTCTCTCCTTCATTCTTGCATTCTTTTCATCTTTCAACTCAATCTTCCTAATGTTTTTTGTACTAATTTTTACATTTCTTATGAGAAGAAGTCATGGTTTATATGTCACTGTTCATCCTTGTATATGATACTCTGATAAAATGGTTACCATAACTTTTTGTTAGAAGGAAACATACTTGGATGGAAATGAATATTGCTTACTTATGGTTCAATAAACAAGAAGTGAGATTGTAGCTGAAAAATTTGAGATTGAAACAGAGAATGTATACATAATATATGTAAAATAACATAAGCTGTCTGTCAGTCCACTTTTTACATTATCTGAAATGTTCATGCATACATGTATACCCTCTATACCAGCTACAAATGTATGTGTTTCTTTTGTAGGCTTACTTCAATCTCTGTGATCACTCAATTTAGATATCAAAGTACAAGTAAATTCAATTTTGTAAAGAATCAACTGAGAGTATCTGCATGGAATTCCAAATTGCCATAATTGCACTAAACAATTTGGTTTGTCACTTATTTAAGATTATATCTTTTGCAGAAGTTAACACACTCAATTATGCACTAAGTATACAATCTTTCCCATCTCAAAGCAGTTACTGGGACAGAATCTCCACTTTTATGTTTGTTCCTCTTTGATGAAAGGTGGAACCGTCAAAGATTTTTTTGCTGTCCAGAAGCATAGAAAAGAACATTGTATTTAGATTGGGTCCTTCTACATTGTGAAACGTTGTCTTTTTTGTTTCTTTTTTCCAGTTTAGCTAGAGGCATGCTAAAAGTTATACTTATAGCACATCTTCATGTTGTACTATTATTTCCATGGTTTGTTCTCCTAAAAGTGGCTAAAGTATTATGCATACTTGAAAGTCTCTTGGTCATATATGTAGCAAGCCATTGCAGTCTAAAATAGCTTAGCAAACAAGTATAAAATGTTCTCTTAACTTAAGTGAATTATGTACTCTATATTGTATAAATCTAGTTATTGTATATTGTATAAATCATAAATGTCTATATTGTATAAATCTAGTTTACCATATACTTTGTATGTACATAGAGCAAACCATGACTCTTAAACATATTTAGTAATTAGCAGCATGACTCAGTTCTTACATAAAGTGGAAGTAAGTAAAAATACCATTATCTACTGTACTGTACAAGTTTTGGTTCACCTTGTTGATATGATCTTTTCCCCTAAAGTCCCAGCTGCAGCAGGTCAACAACATCAAGGGAGAGATCATGAAGCAGCTCTCACTCTACTACTTCACTTTCGTGGACGTTATGGACTTCAAGGTACATTTACACCACTGGCTTCAACGCAGTTCTGTGTAGTTTTCTTATCTTTTATCCAAAAGGTTTTGATGGATGTGTTTATAACGATTCCACACTCTTGATTCTTGTCGTAGGGCTTGAAATCCTATTCTCTGCATATCTGCACTGGTGCAAGTAACATTGAAAATTTACCTGCATGATACAAATTTTACCTGTACCATTCATCAGAATTTAGGAAGTAGTAATCATACTAAAAAATCATACACTGTACTTATTAGGAAGTTCATAGAACATTACTATGCCATGCATGGTAAAGGAGCAGTCACATCTTAGACACAAAGACAAAAGAATTGCATAAATTGTATCTCATTGTAATATCAGAACCCAGATTGTACATGTATTTTTTTACAGGACCATGTCAGTGAGCTGCTCACAACAATGGATGCCTGTAATGTTCATTTTGACATTGTGAGTAGTCCTCGACGAATTACTTTTGCAGAAATATGTACAATTTCACTTCAATTACAAGTGTTAGTATGAAGGCATAGAAATTTAGGTATACATGTATTAACATGTAATCTGAATTCAACATTTGTTGCTTTCTTCAACTAAAACTTCTACCTAACTAATTTAATTTCTTTTTCACCATGTATAGACGACCAACTATGACCTTACAAAGGGTTACCTGGACCTGATCATCTCGTACGTGTCTCTGATGCTCCTACTGGCGCGGATAGATGACAGGAAGGCAGTGCTGGGACTGTACAACTATGCACATGACCTGACACATGGCAAAGTGTGAGTTGGACTGATACACAGTGTTCTCTGTGATACAGTGTACAAGCTGCACTATCTTCTGACAGTGCCTTCACAAAGAAGTTAATATGTTTTAGGGTCTGTTTGTGTATGTTTATGTGTGTGTTTCTGCATATGAACAGTATAACTCAATAAATTAAGTATGCTTGAATTGTGATAATACATGTATTTGATAAGTGCAATAGGAGAAAGTAGAAAAGATAGATCTTGATGAAATAAAGGACAAATTTGACTATTGTTACTGAACTGTTACTCTCCAAATTAGAAAGATCTTTTTGTTGCTTTCATCACAAACAATGTAATGATAGTCTTGTATAAGGCCATAACATAAGATTTTTTTCCCTTTTTTCTCAGGGATCAGAACTTTGCCCGTTTAGGCCAGATGATCCTGGACTATGAACAGCCATTGAAGAAGTTACAGGAGGAATTCACACCTCACAGCAAGGTGAACATCCTCATAACATGAATAGCAAAGTTCTTTGATGACCGTCTGTCATCTTCATCAAGGCAATTCTGACTGGTTTACTGTGCACTGATGCTAGATGTTACTTGGTGCATAGTGCATTAAAAGTGTTACATGGTTCACAGTGCACTGTTACTTGATTCACGGTGCACTTAAGCTAGTTTTTACTGTTAATGCATTTCCAAACGTAGTGCAATTGTGACATACATAGGCCATACACTGTGAACCTGTGAACTATGTAACACCTTTAGTGCACTATGCACCAATTAACAGCTAGCATCAGTGCACAGCAAACCAGTCAGAATTGCCCTGATGAAGATGACAGACGGTCATCGAAACGTTGGCTCGTAAAAAAATAAATGGTTGTGATCAAAGAACTTTGCTGTTCAATATTAAAACAGTTATTATTTGTTGTATATTAGGTATGCCTTGCTGTATACTGAAGTGTTGTACTATGTTGTGTTGTTGTTGTATATCAGCTGGTGGCCTGTGCCCTGTTGTCCCTACACCAAGTGTACCCTCGGCGGAACCTGCCTGCTGAACAGTGGAGACAGGCCCAGATGCTGAGTCTGGTCAGCGCTCCAGGACAGATGCTCAACCCTGCACAGAGTGAGACGGTAAGACAAACCTTTGTGTAATCTGCCAGTTTTATATACACAAGGGCTGTACAAAAAAAAAAAAAACACAAATTTTGGCAAGTAAAATTTTGGTTGGGAAGGAAATCATACCCTGGTGAAAGGGGATTGGCAGTTTTTTTTCAGAATCCTGCATTTGATCTCTGTCTGTAGTAAGTTCTATCTATGTTTTACGAGGTGTTAACATCTTGAAAAGTGTTAATACAAGATACATATGCCATGAAGTATCATTTCGAGCTGGAATACTTGTCATTTTTGGTCCACAAGTAGTGTTGAAATCTGTTCTGTTCTGTTTGCTGATCCTAGCAAACCTGATGGATGTTTTTTGTAACTGTTGTCGTGACTGCTGGCCTCACAATGTCATTTCCTTGTGTTGTATATTAATGTAAGACATTTCTTTGTGCCTTAAAGATGCCCTGTGAGTACCTGTCAGTGGAGACCATGGAGAAATGGATCATCTGTAAGTATAGTCAAGAAAGGGAACTACAAATGTATATTTCTTCTAGTATAGGGTAGTTTCAAGCAGTAAATCAGTGCCACCTAGAGGCCAAATGTGGAAGTACAATGATAGGAGATCTAACAGTCATGTAGACATTCTCTCAAGTAATAATCTTGAGCAAAAGTTTGCAAAACTACTTTTCCCTTTTTTCTTACTAGTAATCAGATGTATGAGAAAAATTTTACAATGAATAAAAAAAAAACAATGAGTACATGTAGCTGTTGCCTAGGACAGCTCGATTGTTCATCAAAATACTGTACGACCTTGACAATATTGCTGTTCCCCAGTTGGATTCTTGCTATGCCATGGACAGCTGACCCAGTCAGACTCTGCTGTTCAGCTGTGGCGACTGGCGCTGTCCGGGAACTACGTCATCACGCTGTTCCGCGACGAGGTGCTGTACATTCACAAGACTGTGGAGGGGGTGTTCGAGGGGATCAAGGGGTATGTATGCCTCCCTTCTTTTGTAGTTTAATTGCTGTCATGTAATACTCACATAGATCAATCAATGTACGTCAACTTGTGATGTTTTTTCTTCCATCCTGTAAAATTTCTTCCTCAGTAGTATTGCTGTCAGTATCTACATGTATCTAAAGGCTGTTTGTTTACTAGTTGTGCAATTGTTCCTCACGTGATCTGTATTATGTCTTCTCAATAATTGCTGTGACATTTGTTTTATAATGTATATTGTATTCATTTTCAGGTACGGCAAGCGTGTAACTGAAACAAAGGAGTGTGCCAATTATGCTGTTGTTAACGCGTAAGTGACCAGGTATTTGTATCCAAAGTTATATAGATTGGACACAACTTGCTAACATGTTAGATTTTTATGTAGCCATTAAAAACATTTCTAACTGTGCTGAAGAAGGTTTTAAGTAAAGAAGCAGAAACAAAGAATGGCATGAGACACATACATTGTATGCTACCGCAAAATCAGCCCAAATAGTACTGTTGTTTTACAAATAGTTGAACTGATTTTGTTGTGCAGGGGTCCGTTTCACCGAGAGAGAAGAGCATTCCTGCGTACAGCTCTGAAGGAGCTAGTGATGATTCTGGCTGACCAGCCTGGTTTACTGGGGCCCAAGGTACAGCTCCTACAGACACTTAACTCAAGACTAGTAGACATCCTTCCATCTGGAAAGATGATGGTAGAACTCTAGGTCTGGTGTTATGGCCGTGTATAGTGTCTCGTGTGCCTTAATTATGCTTAAGATCATACCACTCATTTATCTGTAGTGTCTTCTGGTTTATAATGTTATTCTAAAGGGGCGGCATGCCCTTTTCCGCAGAGCGTAATTGGCAGTTTTAATTCTACTTAATTCTACTTCTCTTAATAAGAGCGTACACGAACCGTTTTAATTCAACGTAAAGCGTAATTGGCGCATTTTGCGTAGAGCGTAATTCGCGTTTTAATTCTACATAATGCGCCCTAGCCACTTGGAATTTACCTTAAAGCGTAATTGCTACTATAGCTTAATACATAGCCGGCTCTCAAAATTTAGCATAGAGTGTTGTCGGGACCCCCCATGCAGACCCCTTTCTAAGGCAACTATGAACTGTTAGACTAGTGTCTAAAAATGGCAATATTTCGAAAGATTTGAAATGTTGTTGTTTACTTTTCTTCAGGCTTTGTTTGTGTTTATGGGTCTGTCGTTTGCTCGAGACGAGGTACTCTGGCTACTGAGACACTCAGAAAACCCTGCGCCCAAACTCAACAAGCGGCCCAACCCTGTGGATTATGAAGACAGGTTGGTAGATTTCGTCTTTGCTTTCTTCATAGTGACTTTGACCTGATTTTCAGTTCTTCTTCCATGGTCTTACAATGTGATGGCAAAACAAAATGCATGATCATATATTTTCCATTGTCTTCATTACTTTGGAGGTGTCAAATGGCTAAATGGGGATATTAGGCTAACGGATACGAGACCAAGAGGTTATGGGTTCGATCCCCGGTATTCCTAGCAAGACGTGTCCTTGGCCCGGCAAGCCTTGGGGTACACAGCTTTCCTCACTCCACCCTGGTATAAAATGGGTGCCTGACTTTGGTTTAGGATGTAAAAGGAAAGGGATAGAGTCTGCCTTCCAATATCTTACCCTGGACACAGTCGATTAACAACCCACCATCTTTTACCATTTTTTGCCTCACCAGACAACTGCCAGAGTTGCTGTACTACATGGAAGAGTTGCGGGGACTTTTGCGGAAGTACAACCAGGTCATGCAGCGGTACTACGTACAGTACCTGAACGGGTTTGACTCCATCGTGCTCAACAACCTAGTCCAGGTAGGTTCCAGGTAGTACTATGAGTCCTCTGCATGCCGGCAGTACAACTTGTAACATGGCCAAACTTTCACAAGTCGCTTGTTTCAGATAATGGGAAAAACCTGTCCATGATTCTAAGTTGTTTCCCAAATTTCCTGGTTGTGCAAAATTAGCTCTAAAATTCTGTCACCATGTTATGAGTTGTTTTGCATGAAAAATTATCAAGCATGACTACATTTATACAAATGTGTAAAGTACATGTAGAAATTGCATGCTCATATGTACAGAGTCATTCAGTTGCATGAAAGGCTTTTGTATGTTTCTATTTGGATTTTAGTAGTCGAGTATGATCTACATCTATGCACATACAGCACCCTGAAATAATCCTTCTAATAGCCTATCTTTATACATAACATTGCCTAGCAAGCTTGTTACATTGCCTGTCTAGATGTGTAATAGTTACATGTATTGTGTCATAGATATGAATCTAACATTGTTGTGTTATGCATTTCTGCTGTAATAATTCACATCATCTCATAATTCCTTCCTTCCTCCATCCTCCTTACTAGTGTCTGTTCAAAACACATCCCTATAATTATATACCTCTAGTATACTTGTCTTCTCCCCACCTTTGCTTGTATACCACTTCTCAGTGTAGTTTAATGCATCTTTCATCACAGTAGCATGGTCATTTTCTCACTGTAGTACAGAAAACTGTAGAATATTGTCTGTTTCCTGCCTTAACCCCCCATCCTATCCTCCACTCTGAGTCAACGTTCACTTTCCAAGTGCATTTCAAATTCCAAGCGCATCTCAACTGCTCAGCTCTGCCTCTCCTATATCTAACTCCATCACATTTAAGGCTTTTAGGATCTTTTTGGCATTTAGAGGTGGTTGAAATTTTTCTTGTGGACTTCTCTTTCCTCTCTTGTAATGCTCTCCCCACCAAAGAACGGATTGCACCAGGTAGACCTAACTTGTGAAATCTGCTTGAGTTTTGACACTTTTGNACAAATGTGTAAAGTACATGTAGAAATTGCATGCTCATATGTACAGAGTCATTCAGTTGCATGAAAGGCTTTTGTATGTTTCTATTTGGATTTTAGTAGTCGAGTATGATCTACATCTATGCACATACAGCACCCTGAAATAATCCTTCTAATAGCCTATCTTTATACATAACATTGCCTAGCAAGCTTGTTACATTGCCTGTCTAGATGTGTAATAGTTACATGTATTGTGTCATAGATATGAATCTAACATTGTTGTGTTATGCATTTCTGCTGTAATAATTCACATCATCTCATAATTCCTTCCTTCCTCCATCCTCCTTACTAGTGTCTGTTCAAAACACATCCCTATAATTATATACCTCTAGTATACTTGTCTTCTCCCCACCTTTGCTTGTATACCACTTCTCAGTGTAGTTTAATGCATCTTTCATCACAGTAGCATGGTCATTTTCTCACTGTAGTACAGAAAACTGTAGAATATTGTCTGTTTCCTGCCTTAACCCCCCATCCTATCCTCCACTCTGAGTCAACGTTCACTTTCCAAGTGCATTTCAAATTCCAAGCGCATCTCAGCTGCTCAGCTCTGCCTCTCCTATATCTAACTCCATCACATGTAAGGCTTTTAGGATCTTTTTGGCATTTAGAGGTGGTTGAAATTTTTCTTGTGGACTTCTCTTTCCTCTCTTGTAATGCTCTCCCCACCAAAGAACGGATTGCACCAGGTAGACCTAACTTGTGAAATCTGCTTCTTGAGTTTTGACACTTTTGTCTGCATGCTATTTAGTGTTACTAAATGCTAGTAGAGTTACTCTTTAGAGACTTGTAGAATCACGTTCAGTGTCTTGTCGTAGTACTGTAGGAAAATGCTGTCAAAGATTGAAGTCTGCTTGTACAAAAGTATGCGACTGTAGTTTTGTGAATACAGTTTAGTAGTAGTTTTATGCCGGTACCTTTTTGTTCTAATGTGATGCAAGATTAACATTATTGAATGTACAGTTAATAGGAAAATTCAGTTCGTAACAAATCATGCATATGTTAATGTTGTGAGCACAGATGGTACTAGCTATGGCATGTTTATAATTTGGCTGCCATTTTCGCTTATCAAAACATGACATAATCAGCTGCTTGCTAAAATATTGACATTTAATTTTGTATTGAAGCCCTGTTTTTTTAAAAACATTTTTCAACACAGGAGGTTTTGATATATACAGTGGATGAACTGGAAGAATTTTGATTCTGAGAACAGACAAAAAAAAGACCAGGCAGTTTACCCTGATGTTGTATATGCTCCACCCCCCCCACACATGAGCGTGTCACTCTTCTGGTAACCAAAATTTCTCTTGTTGTGTTTTCCTGCGGCCTTCGCAAGCCTCGCTTGCGTGCGAGAGAAAGTTTCAACAGCAAACGAAACCCCACGTGTCAGGAGGACTGGGTAAGCCAGTCTATCACCGAGTTTTGTCGTTCCCCCCACCAGAAATAACCTCCACCTGCCGAGTTTGGTTTCTTCACCATTCTCCTTGGCACCGACTTCGCCAATCTTTTTTTATTTCTGGAAAGAAATCATACTTTATGACAGGTTGTCACACTTTTTTTTGTGTGTCTCAAAAAAACTTGTCAAAAGAAGCATCCATGAAATGATGAAAATATAGTACCCCCTCTCCCCCTGATTCCCCCTAGCTTTTGTATTCAAACTTGCTGTTACTATTGAGCCCTATGGTACTGAGTGGTGTATTTGTGACCCCCTCCCTGTTAAACTACTAACCCTTTAACCAGTTCTATACAAGTATCTAAGTACTAATCTTACCCCCAGGTGGTATACAGGCATTGTGGAACTGAGACCATTCTTTTGAAGTGTGCATGTTTGGTCGAAAGTGATACTGTATGTTAAGGACATTTTACGAGTACTGTTCTTGGCTTTTTACTTTTTACTTAAGGCCATGTTGATTTGATTATATGGATGACATCCGCGCGCGCATGAATTTTCGGCCATTTCCAAAAAAAAAAGTTTTCAACCATACTGTAAATCATGCAAAACAGTTGCTAAATGAGCAAAAATATACCATAAGTTGCAAGGAAAACATTTAGAAATGATACCAATGTCATAGAATGCCAAAATCAAAGGAAAAAAAGACAAAATGTAAAGAAATGAATTCGAAGAGTAGATTATTCACCATAACATATTCTGTGCCATTTGTTCAACCTTCATGACCACGTAGATTTCATAGTGAAAGCAACTTTTTTTTTTTGCAAAACTTTTTTTTATTCGCACGCGCGCATCAGTTTTGGGGTTCCCAGAGGATGTCATCCATATAATCAAATCAACATGGCCTAAAGAAAAAAAAATTGCACCAAAGACGTTTTGAATGTAAAATTAATATAGAACTGTTTTGACAGTGTTAAATTACTGCATTGCAAGATTGCTAGCAATTACATATCTGGTATGACAGACTGGAGAAACTCATCCATAGTGCCTGTGTGACCCCTTGTTCTTGTAAGTTTGTCCTAGTAAGGTTAGACTGTACAGCACATTGACAGAACATACTATATGCCTGTGCAAAACCCAGTTTTTTTATAGAATATTTGTTGGATGTTTGGTCAATGTTGCACCAGAATTTTGCCCATTGAAGACAATATCTTTTCCAACACAACATTTGAAAACTATGGACAGGATGCCATCCGAAATAAATATGCAACCTTAGACGAAACATTCTGCTGAAGTGTTATGCATGATACATTATGGGTTTCATGCAGGCACAGTACGTTCTGCCAACATTATATTCCCAGCACTGCACCAGTATTAGCTGCCATGTCGGCCTCTGCATTGTTTGCGTTGTTTCTACCTTCCAGAATCTGTCGGTGTGTCCAGAGGATGAGTCTATCATCATGTCATCTTTTGTCAACACTATGAATGGCCTGTCTGTCAAACAAGGTATATAATATATATCATAATTCTCACTAGGCTGTTTGAGCGTAGGGGCCCCCTACGCTGTGATTTTGACCCCCTACGCTGTGATTTAGCCCCCTACACTGTGTTTCAACCAGCGTAGGGGTGGTTTTGGGGGGCAGAAGCTTCATTAATCTTTAAAAAAATGAAAATATAACTTAAGAATGAAGCTATAACAATGGGAAAACAAAATCTGTCCCCCAATAAACAATAAATAGTGTCTTAAGTGGTTGATATGAGTTACAAAATTTTTGGGGGAGAATATCAGGCCCATGTTTTGGGGACTCGGTGCGTGACTCGCGCCACAGAAAGTTGCCCTTCTATACCTGACCCCTACGCTGTGAAAAAATCCTGGTGAGAACCCTGTATATATTTACATCTGATTCCGATTCATCAGAAATGATATACAAATGCATGATTTACATATAGCGCTACATGTATGCTGCAAACAATTTGGGATAGGGTGATAGAATATTGTTTTGTATAATGCAACTGAAGCCATTTTTTATTGCTTTTTTTTTAAGCAAGTCTGTGGACTATCATTATCTGTTTTTCAAAGGTTGCATTGTTAGAATATGAGAAATACTTTTGTTCTGATTATGCAATAAAAATGGGTGTGTATAAGTTTATAAGACTGTGGCAAGTTGCACATAGTAGGTAATATTTAGGCTATGTTTACATCTGACACCACCACTCTTTCTCCTTGCTTCATTATCATAGGGACAACTCTTCTTTGTGAGTTTTGAACATCAAATCAGTACTTCCCTGTCCTTTATTTACATGTAGGACCTACATGCTTACATACATGTACCATCTCTAAACAACATGACTCCTCTTCAACGTGTACAATTGGAGTTTGAAGTAGATGATTGTGTAAAATCTGGTATGACCTGGCAAACGTGTTTATCCATTTTGAACTCAGTCCCGGAGAAGAGTAAAAGAGAAAACAAAGTAATGGTGCCTATTGGCTAAATCCCAGAATGATATTGTGTTTTTGTATGTTCCAGTTGAGGAGGGGGAGATATTTGACTTCCGAGGGATGAGGCTGGACTGGTTCAGACTACAGGTACTTCATTTTAGTCAATTTGTTTTCCTGAATTTCAAATGTATGAATACTGTGATTCCTGATTTTTTCATTGTACTGTAACAGTTATGTTCTCCATTTACACTGTCACTTCTGTACTGTGAACTTGTCATTACCGTTAAAATAATTCATGGACTTTCTTTTCCTGCACCTGTCACCACCGTGAATATGTAGTTCCGTGAACATGTCCATTTTTCTCAGACCGTGAACTTTTGCTACTGTGAACATAACGTGTATACATGTACATGCGTTATTTGCTCCATTGACAGTTATACATCTAAAGTAACAGCTTACTCCCTAGAGCTAATAGCTAACCAAGTCAGAAATATTTTATTTGCAATGTGATGAGAATGCATTAAAAGAACGTCAAGTCTAACTTGTATTTACTGTAATTATTGCACAACTTTGTTGTACTTGTTCTCTAAGCCTGTCAGGCCTATAACTTTCCCAAGTTGGGCCCAGTTAGTTTGAATGTTCAGAACCCTAACCTACATGTAGCACAGCTCAACAACATAATTAACATTTATTCGTTCTAACTGAGTGTGTACTTGTGCCATCTCTGCCAGGCCTACACCAGTGTAAGTCGAGCCCAGCTGGTTCTGAGAGAGAACCCTGATCTAGCATGGCTCATGAACACCATCAGTTTGAGTAACATTAGTTCTAACTGTGTACTTCTACCATCTCTGCCAGGCCTACACCAGTGTGAGTCGAACCCAGCTGGTTCTGAGAGAGAACCCTGATCTAGCATGGCTCATGAACACCATCAGTTTGAGTAACATTAGTTCTAACTGTGTACTTCTACCATCTCTGCCAGGCCTACACCAGTGTTAGTCGAGCCCAGCTGGTTTTGAGAGAGAACCCTGACCTAGCACGACTCATGAACACCATCACGTTCCACACATACATGGTGGACAGTCTGGATGAGATGGCTAAGGAGACATCTGACCTCTCCACCTTCTGGTAAAAATCAAACCTTCAGTTGTTCCTGCTGTTTACTATATCATGGCAAAACAGCTCCAACTTTTATGCTACACACATACATACTTTTGTTGATGAAGAGAAGACATCCAGGTAGAACAAAATCAAGCAAGCAGAATTATCTAAGCAGTCAGACATTTCAGATAGCATCTACTATCCTTCATCAGAGACAGAGACATTATTGTATGCAATAAAAAATACATACACAGTACATAGTTATGTTTACCGAAGGAAAATGTGTTGTTTTTGCTCAGTTTCTTCCTCTTCTTCTTCTCCAAACAAACAAAGGTCAATGACCTGAACCAGACTTTTGTCACCATGGTAACTAGTGGTGGGTTACATCATGTTGCAATTTTATAGCAGGAGGGATTTTAACTCCTGTCACCCTATATGTATGAATGTGTTTGAGTAAGAATTAACAGTCAGAGCAGACCATATGCATTATGCCTTATGCTTTGCGCTTGCAAGTGTTACCTTGAAAGTTTCTAGTTTGATTGTTGTTTTCCCTCCCCCCAGTTTCTATGGCCGTCTGTTTGAGCAGTACTTCCAGTGGTGCCTGGAGACACCGTCCCAGATGCGCTACTCCATCAGCTTCCCACTCATCTGTTCCCACTTCATGAACTGCACCCACGAGATCTGTCCAGAGGAGGTAGTGGTGGGGTCCTTACTTATATCATCCCTTCCCTTCTGAGTGAACCTATCAATGCAAACCCTTCAGGGTCGGGCTGGAATTAGTTTGACTGCTGCCAACCCTATCTTTCAGCTCCATCTTCTTCTTTCCTCATTGATTACTTGGAATTTTAATTTGCCTGTCACTTTACTTTTCATAAATGCTTCTTGCTGAAGCCTTCTATCTTTTTTATTTTTTTGCTTTTGTGGATTTCACAGCTCAAATTTGTGTTTTATTTGTTTGATCTCATTTTCATTTTTTTAGAATGTCACAGTCAAGTTTCTGATACAGTTATATCAAAAGAAGTCTCGTAGCAGTTAGTATTTCAATGAAAATATGTAGATGACTACCCCCTAAGTTTTGCTATTGGTTTGCCCCAAGGTTTTGCACTGATAGGTGCAGCTGACATTTTTCCCCCTGGCCATTCCCTATGATTTGCCTCAGCATTTTGTGTCTCCCTACTGAACTGCCACCAAACTTTTCACTAATCTTTTGTGATGTGCCTTTCAGAAACCAATGCTGTCATACAAGCAAAATGTATGCATTCATATTTCTTATGTACAAGCTTGGTAGTACTGGCTCGTGGCAGCAGCAGAGATGCTCTGTATTTTTTGTCATTCTGGCCGAATTCTGCTGTATGTGTTAAAGGCATGGGCAGCGTATGAAGTGATTGGAAGGCTGGCACTCTTGTTGCTTGTTGCGTACATCATTGTTATGATGGTTATGAGCATCGGACAAGCCAAGAGTCCCCCAAGCAAATGCATCTTTTCCTAGTGCATGTTCTCGTTGTGGCTTCATGTCTGCATGCTGCAGTGTTGCAGGATGTGGGATCCTACAGATGAGCTGAAATGAGGAATGTAATGTTGACCGTACTCATCACAAAATGTACATATGGATGTGAAAAGACACAGAGTTTGCCCCGGAGGGTAGAATGGATTTTGTAAGCCAGTGCTAAAGACTGTTTATTAACCATTTAAATATGACTGAACCACACACAGTTGAGAACCAGTGGGGGCTCAACAAGAGAAAGAAAAAGTCAGGGTACAAGTTTCTGTGAAACTCCATCCAAGGTGCACAACATCCAAACTGTAGTGATACAGTAGTTTCAAGGCATGAAAAAATAATTACATGTACAACAGATTAAGATATACAGGTCTTGTATGTCAAATTGAATGTAGGAGCTTTAGAAATATTTGGCAAGGAGAGAGATGTACTTTGTTAGATCAGTTTTAGAGCATGACATTATCTTAAAGGTACAAGAACTACAAGAAGGATTGATCTTCTGACCCAAGGACCTCTGCATGTGCATGCATTCATATCCAACAACTACATGTACAACTGCACATCATGTCACATTAAGCATAGAAGAAAGTATGTGTGACAATTTAACTTGAAGCTTTCCGTGAATTTGTAGCGACACCATATTGGGGACCGTAGCCTGTCACAGGCCAACTTCTTCCTGGATGAGATGGCAAAGGAGGCCAAGAACATCATCACCTCTATCTGTGATGAACAGTGCAAGCTTGGGGACCAGGTAAAACAGTACATTAAACATATCTCAAAAGGGACTTAAGATTCCAATCTCCTCTGTGACATATATACCGGTAGCCAGAAGAGTATTTTACCCATATTAAGCATTAAAAACATGGCAAACCAGGACTGGTGATGAAGCTTTCACATTGTATTTTGTACATAACTTGCAGCTTGTGATATTTTATCAAGGGGTTGCTAACGTTTGTTGTCATAGGAAGAACTGGTACTCCTGATTTCTTTGCTCCCTATATGTCGAATCTCAGTTGAAAGAATCAGATGCAAAGATACAATGTAGATGCTGTAGTAAACTAGCAACAATCATCACTGTCTTGCCCAGCAATACTAAAGAATGACTGGATTCTATACTTCATTTTGTTTTATTCCCAGCTGTTGCCCAAGAATGCTGCCAAGACCATCAGTATTGCCATTGAGAGGAAGAGAAACCAGAACAAAGCCAAGAAGCTCCCGCAGGAACCTGACAAACCTGGGAGGGAGAGCATGCGCCGCTCTCGCACTGATGTCACAAGGTTAGCGAGAACTGACTTCAAATCATCCCAGGATTTCAAGGGATTTGCAGAGATCTATAAACTGAGCATGTCAGCAGAACATACTGTGCCTGCACGAAACCCAGATTTTCCCCAGTTTTCGTTGGATGTTTGGTCAATGTTTCATTAGAATTTTGTCTGTTGCAGACAAAATTTTTCCAACATAACATTTGGAAACTACAGTTGGAATGGTATCCTTATATTTGCAAATACGACCTCATTTTGAGCATGAAATCAAAGTCAAAAGAAAATGACATGCGCTTCTGGTAGAAAATATTTTGTCCAATCAAGAGTATACATGTATAATGTATGACAAACTTATGAAGTAAAGTTATACATGCGCAGATAATTGTCATAGCGGTAGCACATAGAGTCAAGTAATGTTTGGATCTGCCACATTTTAAACTACACTGTATGTCCTATGGACCTACTTGTTAACAGTGCAGTTTTTTCCCAGCATGGACAAGCTGTACCTGATGCTGACAGAGCTGTGTTCTGCCATCAACTACACCCCGTCCATCCAGGTGTGGGAACACACCTTCGCTCCCAGGGAGTACCTGACTCAACACTTGGAGTCCAGGTTCACAAAGTAAGGATAAACTTCATTAGAAACAAAATAGTCAACTAGAAAGGTAACATTTTTGCAAAGAAAATGCAAATGTTTACCTTCACACAGGTTTAGCCCAACAAACCATTGCTCTGTTTATTCTTGCTGAAACACATTCATGTATATGGTGACCAGCCCCCGCAACTCTGTCCTGCCACTTGCTACATAATGTAATCCTAATCCCAACACCACAGGGTGTCTGCTACAGCACCAGTTACTATGGTGACAGCCATCATTGACCTTCTTTGTTTGGAGAAGAAGAAGAAACAAAGTAAAAACAAAGTTTTCCTTTCATGAAGGTAAACGTAAAAAGCCAACAGAAAGTGGATGATATTTACATATTGTATTTCAAGGATACAATGTATATGATGATATTTCCTCAGCATGTTAAAGTAAAACTGTTAATACACTATCTTACCAAGATTGGTTAATTTTGTTTGCCGTGTTTCAGAGCCCTTGTAGGGATGGTGATGTACAACCCTGACTCTGGGGAGATTGCCAAGCCTTCAGAACTACTCAACAGTGTGGAGGCCTACATGGGGGTACTGCAGACCATAGAGAATTATGGTAGGTAATATTCTGCAATACAGAAAGGCACTGCATGCCCAGAAAAAATTACAAGAACTAAATCGTGACTCAGAAATGCTCCACATTTTCAAGAATTTATGATTTTAATTGTTATGTGCATTGTATAGTATTACATGTACATGTACATTGTACATGTCAAAGAATTTCCATCTTGTTTAACATACACTGTACATTGTTTGTAGAGTGGTTGATTTTTACGGCATACCTTTTGCCAGAAATTTGTAATATGATTTCACAATTACAAGTTGTATTGCACTCCTTAACTCACGTGTTCATTCATTTTAACCTTGATTTTTCACCCCTGCAGTTCACCTAGACATCACCAGGGTGTTCAACAACGTGTTACTCCAACAGACTCAGCCCCAGGACAGCCATGGAGACAAGACCATCACAGCTCTCTACACTAACTGGTCAGTCACTGGGTCTTAGTGTACAAAATACCAAGGACAGGCATGTTTCCCTGTTTATGGTTGTTGTTCAGCACCAAGGGCAGGCATGTTTCCCTGTTTATGGTTGTTGTTCAGCACCAAGGGCAGGCATGTTTCCCTGTTTATGGTTGCTGTTCAGTACCAAGGACAGGAATGTTTCCCTGTTTATGGTTGCTATTCAGCACCAAGGACAGGCCTATTTCCCTGTTTATGGTTGTTCAGTACCAAGGACAGGCCTGTTTTTCTGTTTATCTGTCTTTCTGTTCTGTTTCCCTGTTTATGGTTGCCGTTCAGCACCAAGGACAGGCATGTTCCCTGTTCATAAAATAACATAACTAATTATTTGGTTATGGATACAATAGTTTGTTTGCTGGATGTTTCATGATGTTAACTCCCTGCCCAGGTACTTGGAGGTATTGCTGAGAAGAGTGAGTACAGGACAGATCATGTTCTCACCCAACAGACATGCCTTTGTCAATGTCGGTGTGGATCCCAATCAAGTGGCCGTAAATGCTGAGGAGTTCCCAGATATCAGTGGTGAGAATAGAATATGTATTATATTATCAGACTATATTGTACAACACTATCAAATCTTGACTTAATCAATACAAAGAAGACAGAATTTAAGATGTTTCAAATGCTATCCAGCAATCTTCGTCAGTGAAAAGAAAACAAAGTTTACTTTTAGATAATATGGATCAAGGAACAATAATGCATCACTGTTTGCAGAACTGCGATCCCTTGCTGAACTGTTGGGGCCTTATGGAATGAAGTTCCTGAATGAGAGTTTGATGTGGCACATCTCCAGCCAGGTGGCAGAACTCAAGGTGAACATTTTACATGTACTTGAATCTAGATTTGAAACTATAATTAACAAATAGGACTCAAAATCATTTTTCTACATACCTGCACTGGTGCATGTAACACTGAAAATTTCATGCACAAGACAAATTTTAATTGCCCACTAAGAATTTTGAAAATATGGATCATATTAAAGAACAGTTCAGAGCCATTGCCATTATTTCTTTTATACTTCATACATGTAGGTGGTAAAAGTTAATTCAGCAAATAAAAATCCACATACACCTACTGTGTACATTTGCCTATAGTATATAAACCTAGTACATGGACCAGTGCAGGTTAGGTGCAGGTAGACATCAAAAATACCTGCACAGCTCCAATTTTACCTACACTAACCTGCAAATACCCAGTACATGGACCAGTGCAGGTTAGGTGCAGGTAGACATCAGAAATACCTACACAGCTCCAATTTTACACTAACCTGCATATGCAGGTGGTATTTCAAGTCATGTAAAGTCATCTCTGTGATCTGTGTTTTGGACTCATTGTCTCATCATCATTTAATGTATCTGTATGACAGAAACTGGTGACTCAGAACAAGGTTGTGTTGACCACCTTGAGGACCCACTTTGACAAGCCAGCATTGATGGCAGAGCACTTCAACAGACTCAGAGGTAACTCTTCTCCTTTCTAAATCCTCCATGAAATACCAATGTAACTGAAATATAGGTATTCAAACTTGATTTTTTAGTACACAATATTTCCGAGTTCAGGCCAGTTCTAAGGCAAATGGCTAAACTGAAAATATGAAATTACAGTTATCCCCATATGAAATGTACCTAATGTCTGTCCCCCTCTAGATGTTGACAACGTGCTGAAGAGAGTCACTATTGTTGGAGTCATCCTTTCCTTCAAGACACTGGCTCAAGATGCTCTGAATGATGTAAGACTCATTTCTATATGTATTTCCCATACATGTACATGTATGTAAGCAGTAAAAGAACTTAAATACATTTGTACTTGCTTTTGTTTTCCTGATTGAGAGTTTTAATGTAACATCTAGGAGTAAATATTAGCATGTACTGCATACTAGTTGTTCCTTCTCGTTTTGAGTGGCGCTCATCATCAATTTGTGTTCTGGAATTCCCACAGGTGCTGAAGAAACGCATCCCATTCCTGATGAGCTCCATCATCGACTTCCAGAAACACTTCCCTGAGACACCTGAGAACAACATGGTCAGTGTACATTCTCTTCTTCCCAATCATCTGTTGGCTCTGTATTTTGTGTCATTGAATGGCTTAAAGTGGCTTGGCTAGTGGACAGGAGATCGAAAGGTTGTGATTTCAATCCCTGGCTAGAAGTTGTGTCCTTTGGAATAGCTTTTTACATGACTCCACCCAGGTGTAAAATGGGTACCCGGCTTTGGTTGGGGAGGTAAAAGGCAGTGGAAGGAGAGGGATGGGCTCCACCTTCCTATCTTTGCCCTAGACACAGTGTGTTACCTCAAGGCCCCAAAACTGCCAGAAACTACATTGTACCTTTGCCCTTTTTAGCCATGCTTCAGTGTTACAATTAATGGTTATCATTACAGTTGCATGTAATATTTTTTTCTTGTTTGTTCCAGGTTCGTGTTGAGATAGTGAATGAGATGGCATCGGCAGCTGGCCTCCCTTGTGACGTGGACCCAGCATTGTGTGCTGCTCTCAGAGTACAGAAATCTGGTAAGCAAGCACTTAAGAAAAAACATGTGTATTGGGTTGTCGCTTTTTTTCTTTTATAGTTGGAATTTTCTACTCTTTTGTCACACCTGGCAAACTTTATTTTTCATCAATTGATAGTTGATATGTGTTTAATATGCTTCAAATAACAAGCACACTAACCCAACCTTTCATTTTTAAATCAGATCATACATCTACATTGTGTCACTTCCCACCCATGTCTTTTTTGTTTTACCTCATTTTTTTTTAGCTTGTCCTCCATGTAGGCAAATGCATTCCTTTAATCTGTGTTTAACTTACTAATTCTACTAATCTATCTGTAATCTTAATCAAATTGTTACCCCCTGTTCACCTTTGCTTATATATAAGCCTACATGGAGGAGTTTTTCTCTGTGTGTTTTGGTCATCTTGGAAACCTTACAGGTGCCGGTGCTGAATACTTTCTTCCACAACCGTTTCATATGAGACGACAGATTTGGGCAGGTTGGGCCACACTGACTGTTTTTTTGTTGCACATTTTTTAGTGTCACCTTTTTTTCATCTCTATCATGCCGTTTGGTTGCCACATCGTTGTGAGCGTCACACTGTGCTCTCTGATTAGGATTTTGAAGTTGTAGTTGTCTGCTGAGTCAAATGAATTCTAAGGTTATCTTTGAATTATTACTCAACTGCAAGTGCATCTTGTGAATTGAAGCAAAGTTTTCATTGGGTACATGTATATCTGCAAACTGACAGTTTTTTCCCCTCAAAACCTGGTTACCAGACCTATTTTAGCTGCCAAGTCTTTTTTGTCCTCTATGCAAAGCGAAAGAGACTCTGCAGCTAAAATAGGTTTGGTAACCTGGCTATTACGTGATTGTATTTCCCGTCATGGTCTCATTTGTCTTCTGTTCTGTGCCACAGTCCTTGTCCTTTGTACCTTGTATGATGTACATCATTTTAACACTAACAGGGCTATTGTTCGATTTGAAACTATTTTGTGACTGGGACACTACCTTTACAGAGAATCCAGATGAGGACTACAAGATAGCCTGTCTGCTGATGGTGTTCATTGCAGTCTCCTTACCGATGCTGTCACTAGACTCCCAGTCTTCCTTCAGAGCAGACCTGGAAGGTAGGGAATTTGGGTTAAATAGAAAAAAGTTGTGAAGTGATTGGTCATTAATTATCCTGATGAAGGCGACAGTGGTCGCTGAAAATTTGATCCCTGTACAATTGCGTGTTTGAGTAAAGTTCAACATTTTACTATGATTACTATCAACACAGATGAACTTTCATGATAAAAAAAGAATCACAGGTCAATAGGGCAATAACTTTTTTTCTGTTTGATGCATTGGATATACAGTAATATAATTTATGTTTGTTTTAAGATGATAACTTTATATACAATGTCATGTAGAAACAGAATCCATGGTGAACAGGCATACACTAAAATGTACCTGCATTCAAAGTTCTTTAATTTTTTATTCTTTAACAATTGTTCTTTAATTTACAGTTACATGAAATAAGTTATATACATCATTTTGCAATATCGAAGCATACCATAATTTTACTGTAGTGTTGTATTTTCCAAGTTGGCTCAATTGCTGTGTTTAAATCCAAACCTGAACTCAAGATGGGAATGCTTCAAAGGGTGCTTTTTTATGTTATATGCAATTTGCATGATTGCCTTGTTTTTGTTCATGTTTTGTTTGTTTACCTCTTCTAGGACATACAAACAACATCCACTGCCTGGCCAAGGCTGTTAACAGTATTGCTGCAGCCATGTTTACTATATATGGGAAAGGCAGGGTGACCATTGAGGAAAGGCTGAAAGAGTTCCTGGCTGTAAGTCCCACCATCACATGTACATGTACAAATGTGTTTCTTGTCTTGACATGTTTGCTACCTATTGTAAGTGCAAAGGATACTCTGTTCATGTACATGTACATACTGTACATGTCTGTACAAGTACCTGCTGACCCTAGACTTTTTTTTTGGTGGACCCCTGCAAGGGATGAGCTGATCAACCTTTTCTAGCTCCATGATCTGACACCTGAGTGATAACATGTTGTACAATTGGTTTTCATTCTCATTTTCATTGTACATTGAAAATAAAAGTGTCCTCATGCAAGTTTTACTTTGTTAAACTGTAAGTTGGACCCCTATATATACATGTAGATATCACTAAAGTCTAAAAATAAAGAAAAAAAAAGATAATCCCTACCTACCGACCCTAATTTTTTTCAGAACTGAAACAGGAAACACAACATTTTATTTTCCTAGGCCTTTTGGGGGACTGTACACAGGTTTACTCTTGTTGATGTAATGTCTTTAAAATTTGTTTGTCACCATCACAGCTGGCCTCCTCCAGCCTGCTGAAGTTGGGACAGGAAACCGACAAGTTGGCCCTGCGGTCCCGCGAGTCAGTCTACCTGCTTCTGGACCAGGTGCAGCCATTTTTGTTTCCTTCTTGGCTTTCCTTTCCTGATATTCTAATTCCTCAGTGTGTTCTGCCCACATGGTAAGCAACCCACCTCTGCTCCTTTTCACTCTGTAGCTACTCTGTAGAATTAAGTGCTGGCTTCTGTACAGCTAGTGTTTCTTACTGCTTTGTGCCCTTTTCTTATCTTACTTATTAGGTCTTGAAACCTAGGTGCTGATACGGCATTCTGGTACTGCAGCTACTACTACTGACTTTACTCCTGCATGAATGTGTGTAGAGCCCCCTAGTGACACCCTTGCTCACTGCAGTAGAGCAGGCATGATTCTTGTGACTAAAATGTTAACAAAATCTGTCTTGTCCATCTGTTGAGGTTTATTGCCAGCATCATTCCTGCTCTCTGTAATTGCTTTCTAAAGAGGACAAACCACAAAAGAATGATATGGCCAAAATTTTAAAGGAAAAAAAAAATATCACAGCTTTGGCAACAATTCTTTCTCAATATTGGCTGAATTGCACTGTATGCGAGTTTTATCTAGTATTGACACAAATCATTGTTCCTTTGTGGTTTGTCCCATAACACTGTCCCTATGATTGAGTTGTAGACAGTAGAGATTCTTGTACGTGTAGTACGACTCTTGCATGCCATTTTGTAGCTCATAGCTTCATTCTGCCTTGTTTGTAGTTATAGATTGTGTATATGTTACAGTACTCGTGTCATCAAGAGAGACTGGCATCTGAGTAAAGAGACTCTTTGTAAACAACCAAGACTTTAGTCTTTTATTCAGCCGAAGTTTCAGTGACTGTCTGTCACCTTCCTCAGGGCAATTCTGACTGGTTCACATTGCACTGCAGCACAGGTGTCGCTGCTGCATTCCCAAATGTACAATATTTACATATCTACGGCTGAATAAAAGACTTGGTTGTGTAAAAAGAGTCTCTTTACTCAGTGTCTTACCAACCTGATTAAACTATTCATGGAGGCTGGCATCTGTGTGTGATTTTTGAGTGTTAATTGTTTCCTGCTCTGTGTTTTTTCCTTCTCTTGATTCCTTCAGATTGTGAGGGAGTCCCCGTTCCTGACCATGGACCTGTTGGAGTCCTGTTTCCCCTACGCTCTCCTGCGGAACTCCTACCACGCAGTGCTGAGACACGACAACCGGATGTAACGTAACGGACGCAGTCTAATCACACACAGCAGCTTACGGACATGTATAGAAGCATCGTGATGCTGCCAATTGTTTTTGAAATGCACTGCGTGCATGCACGAAGGACATACGTGTACAAATATAATGTACATGTAAACCACAGATGATCAGGTATTGGAATCTGCAAATGTGCAAGATCATAATCTACGAAACCGTGTAACCCTTGCCTGCAGAAAGATAATTCATCAGATTGGGGGTGTGGAGTTGCCTTTGGACATCTTATCTAAGAAGGCTAAATCAATACTAACTTTGTTCTGAGAGATACGAATTCATTTTCACAGGTTGGATGAAAATGGCAGTCGTGTGATATTGTCTACGAAATTAGTTTGTTTTATTTATGGGGTGCTATAATTATAATGTTTTTAAGGTGGCGAATCATTTCCACTGTAAGATATTTAAAGCTAATCATTCCTTAAGCTAGTAGATGATCATAGGATAAATTAAAGGTTCATTGCAAAGGACATGGGTTATATTCTTTAGATTTGGACAGAATTCATTCATGAACATTGTGTGTGTGTATGGTAAGATAATACACAATGTGTGTGATGGCAGTGGTATTAGATATTACTCCTGTGCTCATTTTTATACAAGTGTGTTGAGAACTTCAAAATCTGTGTCAAAAAATTTAAGAGAAGCTCTGAAGAGAAAAATGTGAAGAAATCCTGCATTCGATGTATAACTTGCTGTCTTCCATACTGTGTAAGTTCAGCGTTTCCAAAGTAATGGCAAACATGACACTGAGAAGAATGTATTGTACCATGTATCATGCCATATTGACAGCTGGTATATCTAACCATACTTGCATAGTCTTGACATCAACATTGGAGACTTACATTTGTACATTGTATGGCAGCATGTTGTGTTGAACTTGAAACTTTTAGGTTTGAATGTGAGATTTAAAAGCCATGAATAGGCATTTGAGTCTGGTTGTATGCTTGCCCTGTAGTTCCTTTCTGTATGATAATATCTCCTTATTTTGTAACAAAATTTGGTATTCATGATTGTATATAGGCTCCATAATGATAGATTCAATGTCTTTTCCATTTGAATATGTGGACAATGATTGGTGGTTGAAAAATCTGGATAAATCCAAAAATTAAGTGTCAAATTGGTTTGAACAAAATAACATGTATTACATTGTATCTTTACCAGGTAGCAAGGGTATATAATACAATTCTCATGCTATTCCTTGTACATGAGCATTTGGCCTACAGTATCTCAACATAGGACTTGACTTGGAATAAAATCTAACATCTCACTCATTTGTGGTTTGTCTTTACTTTTTATATATATGGCAAAACATAATGCCATGGAAGTTTAGTAACATTTCACTGAGTGACTTTGGCAACACTTCATAGTAACAATCCCTATGTAACACACTTCAACATTCCATAACAACATACATTGTAGCAGCAACCGTTTCTGGTACCCAAGACTTTGAATTACCTGTAGATGTATGACATCATAATCTTCAGAAATTCACTGACCGAATTAGACTACACACGGGATTAGTTTTACACGTACCCATGATGACTTAAAAGACATGATCAAGTCTTGTATCGGAGGTGCAATGTATATGTACCATTGCATCAGTACAAGATTTGAGAAGATTGGCACAAAATGCTTGACTACAGTTGTCCTGAAAGACACTTTTAACTTTGCCTTATAATAAATAAACCATGTTAAATAATAAGCAACAAGTAACAGTCCGATAAACCAACAAGTAACAGTCCGATGAACCACTGATATGATGTACACAAAATCAGATACAAACATTTCCACAGCCCATACAAGACTCTAACAGATGAAAGGTACATCTTCACAACGAAATAAAGCTCCAGGGCCTTCCACAATGTAGCAGATTGTCAGTATGTGGTTCTAAAATCTCTGAAGTCCAGTTCTTTCACTTGTTTTTCATTCTTGAAGCTGCAATTTGTAATCCGTGAGGATGGACTTCCTTTCTTGGCTAACCACTCCTGCCTGGAAAAAAGTACAAAGTTGGCATATCATGGTGTAAGGAAAATACAACTCCCATAATTCTGTATACCTGACAGTCATTGTAAAAATAGCAATAATGCAAATAATCATTCAGCTTTCCTTCATACCGCACTTATGGTACATTAACAAGTCCAGCATGCCACGTGATTTAAACAAATGTTCAAAAGGCTGTTACTCAAATGCAGGGTCTGCAAAAACTGTAAGGCCACACCAATTTAATTTGTTGGTTCTCGGATTCGCCTCTCCGTTTTTTTCTGATTTGCAAAAAAAAAAAATTGATTCTGGTCCTGAATCAACTGAAAAATGCTCATGTTTTGCCCCCAACAGTTGAGGAAAGTCCTTTTCTTCCTAGTTGTTACAGTTTTCCCATCTATCATTGCAGTGGTTTGATTAAAAGTTCAAAATTCAATGTTTAAATTTTAACCCAGCCTTTTGTGTTGACTTCATGGCTTATTTTGTAGCATTTAAGCCTATAA